ACTCCATAGCAAGGGGACTTTTTCTTTCCCAGTCTTTCTCTTGGTCTTCCTGGTTCTGGGCTCCACTGATAAAACTCTCAGGAGCTGCTGCAGGCTGGGAAGAGAGGTGGGCCTCTCCAGAGCCATTGGGAGGATTAGACAACCCCCTGGGCTGAACCTGAAGTGGGGCTTCCGGGTTTGGGGCTTCCAGGTGAGGCTATGAGCAGCCCTCCAGAGGAGTTTCAGCCTTCACAGGCATTCTATTGCTGTGACTGGGTGGGGATAGTGGTGCTCTTGTACAAGAGGTCAAACCACTCCTCATTCAAGCCTGTTTGTGTAAGTGGGCAGGGAGGGCTTTGAGGGAAACAATCCAGTTTTTGTCAGTGTTTATTTGAAGTTAAGACCAAGAAGTTTTGGGGACAAAACCTCAATTAGGGAAGGCAGAATGGGTTATAAGGACTAAGATGATGGAGGCAGGGGAGGGGTCCCTGAACCAGTCAGCACCTGCATAGCTGACAAGGACCCTGACTGGGCTGCTGAAGGCATGGGCCCCAGATTGCCAGGTCCCCCACGTTTTTGAAAAAAAGTGAGCAATATAGTTGGTTTTTTAAATGACATTTCCTGCTTCTTTAAATGTTGGCAACCTGTTAAAGAAATCAAACTTGTTTGGGGCAGAGTATGATTGCAGGCTTCAATGTGCAACTTTCAACTAATTTTACTGCACAGTTGCTGTGTCCTTCACAGATGGACCTGCCCCAACTGACTTGCTCTTGCCTCCTCCCTCTGTCTTTCTTCCTGCTGTGTGACCTCTGGTCACATGGCCTGCCATCCATGCCTTAAAGTGTGGCTAGCTCCTTTCACTGCTCAATCCCTACTCAATCACTGCCCACCAATGTGATCTTGACCCACCAACCTCCTCTCCTCCCTTCTCACTGCTTCCAGACCACCCACCTGGCTTGCTACTCCCAAACAAAACAAGACTATCATCTCTATTACCCATTTGTTCTGCTCTCTATGATTTTGTTATGATTGGAACACTAACAACCACAGCCAAATGTTCCTATTTATCTCACTTTTTTTTCCCAATTATTTTTATTGTAGCAAAATACACATAGCATAACATTTACTATCTTAGCTGGGTGTGGCAGTGCACACCTGTAATCCCTGAACTCAAAAGACAGAGGCAGGAGGATTGTGAGTCTGAGGTGAACCTGAGCAACCCAGTGAGACTCTGTTTCAAAAATCCAAAGGCTGGGGTTATAGTTTAGTGCATTTCAAGGTACTGGTTTTAATTTCAAGCACTGCCAAAAAACAAAAGAAAAAATTATAGCTGGGTGCCAGTGACTCATATCTGTAATCCTAGCTACTCAGGAGGCAGAAATCAGGAAGATCGAGGCTCGAAGCCAGCCTAAGGCAAATAGCTCGAGAGACCCTATCTCAGAAAAAAACCATCACAAAAAAAGGGCCAGTGGAGTGGCTTAAGGTGTAGGCCTGAGTTCAAGCCCTAGTACTGCAAAAAAAAAAAGAAAGAAAAATTACTAATATAGTTATTCATAAGGGCTCAGTTCAGTGGCACAGAGTACTTTCATATTGATGTTCAATCATCACCACCATCCATCTCTTCATGCAACCATAAAGTCCTAAGTTCAAACCCCAGTACCATTGACAAAAACAAAACAAAACAAAAAACATGAGATATATTGACTAAACAATCCCTCAAGCCAGCCACTGGTGGCTCAGACCGTAATCCTAGCTACTTGGGAGGCTGAGGATCCAGGTTAGAGGCCAGCCCTGGCAAATAGTTCTTGAGACCCAATTTCCAAAATAACCAGAGTAAAATGAACTGGAGGTGTGGCTCAAGCAGGAGAGCACCTGTTTGCAAGCATGAAACCCTGAGTTCAAACCCTAGTCCCACCAAAATAAATGCATAAATCACTCCCTATTTCTTTCTTCCTCCAGCAACCATCATTCTCCTTCTTGTCTCTGATTTTGATTACTGTAAGTACCTCATATGAGTGAAATCATATAGTATTTGTCTTTTTGTGACTAGCTCATCTCACTCATAGTATTCCCAAAGCTCCTCTGTGTTGTAACAGGTCAAAATTTCCTTCCTTTTAAAGGATGAATACTATTTCATTGTACATATTGTATGCATTCCATTTTGCTTATCCACTTATCTTCCACATTTTAGCTGTTGTGAATACTGATGTTATGAACACGGGTGTACAAATACTTCTTTGAGCCCCTTGCTCATCTATTTAATGCCTACTCATGAGGCCAATAATCAATCTTATCAACTTCCATGCTTGACCAGCTCTGTTCTTTCCAGCAGCCAGCTGTTGGCTACTTAGTATCCCCAAATGTGCCCCCCACCCAATGGAGGATACTAGGGTAAGGAAAACCAAATCCTGCCCCCAGCAGTCTCAAGCAGATGAGCTGGATCATGCACCGTGTACAGGAGGTGCTTTCCAGGGATAAAGGCGCACTTGAGGTAGAGGCCACTGTCTGTGCCAAGCATGAGAGAGAGTGAGACAGGGGCAGAGCAAAGGATGGCTGGGAGTCCCAGACATAAGGAGTGATTCCAGGACCAAATTGTTACAGATTTGCCTCCATGCTGCCTGTGCTGGAGTATGAGCCCCAGGACAGCAGTGAGGTGTCTCAGCGTCGTTCCTCTGCACCTGCCACCTGCCACCTGCCTGAGACACCTCCCCTTAAACCCTTGCAGGAAAAAACTGAATGCAGTGCGAGGTAGTGGTGAGCGCGCCCCCTAGCGGGCAGCTGCGAGATTTCGCCTCCTCTTGCCAAAGCCGAGGCAGCTTTGTGCAGAGCATCCCCCAGACCTGTTCTAGGGATGGCGCTTTGCCTGCCATCCTCTCATTTGATCTCTACCCCTCCCGAGAGGGTGTTCACTTCAGGCCAACACTTATTAAGCACTTATTCTCTGTTGATCACTGTTCTAGGCATTGATTGGGGTAGCGTTTGGGCATTAACCACTCCAGCCCTGTAAGTGCACAGAGAACCAGTGACAATGGGGGAGCAGTGGAGGTAAGGAGCTGGGAGAGTGGGGGTTTAAGAGGGAACACCCAGCACTCTATGAGCTGGAACAAAGAGAGTGAGCCCCACCCCTGCCATCTACTCAACCTCCTCCACATAGTAACTACCATTAACTGAGGTCACAGAACGAGCAGGTGTTGGAGTCCCAGAGATGACTAAGATGTCATTTGTGGTCCCAGGAGTTCACAACCAGCAGGAAGACAGATACATAAATAGAAAAGGGGTGTGCTGGACTCAGGGTCCTGCAGGAAGTGCCAGCCACCTGGGCAAGTGGTGGGGGAGGGGTGTGAGCTTAGACTGAAGGATGAAAAAGGGGAGGTGACCCGGGCAGACAGCACAGCAGGGACAACCACGGAGGCACAGCAGGGACAAGTACGGAGGCGCTGCCATCAAAAGGCAGCCTTTCCCCGGGTGCAGGAAGGTTCCCTTCCCTGATCTGGGTGCTTCCTCAGAGCTGTGCACAGCTATGGAGGTTCTGGAGCTGTACCCTTAGGACTTCACGTGTGCAAGTTCATTTCCTTCACACTTTGCTTACATGCAGCCCTGGCCTCTTCTGGAAGAGTAGACTGGAGCTGCAGTTGGGATTTGCATGCATTCTCCCTCCCACACCAGCTCCCTTGGAAACTCACTTTCCTGCTAGTAAAATGAGGTCAATAAGACCTTCATTACAGGGCCATGTGCTCAGCCACACTGAGAGCTTATTCTGACAATTCCAAATTTCTGACTTGCAGTGCCTAGACTTAGGAGTTGCATATAATTAAGTGAATAAATGAATGAATTAGACGTGTGATTTTTTTTGACACCACCAGATGTCTTGAACAAATTGGGGTGGGGAAGAGTGTGGGCTTCAACTTAAGGCTTGCTGGGCAGGAGCTCAAAGGCAGGGGAGGGGTTGCATTCCTGTAAAGAAGCCAGAGACAGGTGTGTAGGGAGGCAGCTGGTGACTTGGGTGTGATCAGGTGAGGTTGAGAGCAAAGTCCAAGTCTGCACACCCTCTCCCCAGCCTCCAACTTCACAGGAGATTAGGGCTGAGCAGGCCTGGCGATAGGCTCAATCAGAAGCAACTCAACCTCCTAATCCCTACTCTCAGGTCTCACCGCTCCCCTCTGATGGTCAAACTTGGCACTTCTCCCCACCCCAGGGGCCCGGGCAGTTTCGGGAGAGATGGGAAAACCTGCTGAACAGGGTGGCCAAAGCCCGAACCGGTTGGACTGGGAGGTCCCATCTCCCCCCCAGCAACCTTGTCCTTCTTCTCCTGAACGTCAGAACAGAGGCAGAAAGAGCACAGAACAGGGCTGTGGTTAGAGATGAGCTGAGGTAAGCCTGAGCACTTGCCTAACACCTGGGCTCCATCCCCAGCACAGAGAGGGAGAGGGGAGAAGGGGAGAGGAGTGGAGGGGAGGGAAAAGGAGGAAAGAGGAGGAGAGGGGAGTGACAGAAGACACCCCTCCCTCACAAAACAAACCATTGTATTTTTATTTAGTTTTAATATTTTTGTGGTGCTGGGGCTGGAACCCCAGGCCCCAGGGACCCCATCCCTGAAGAAGCAATTCTTTACAGCATAAACTACACAGGGAAGTCTTTTCTCTCAGCACTGGACTGTGCAGAGCAGAAGGGCAACTTTGAAAGCTGAGGTTCAGGCCTCCAGTTTTGGACACTACCCCGGGTCCCTCCCCAGAGTCATGGGGCGCAGAGACAGGTAGCTTTGAAAGGACACAGAATTCCTACTTCCTCTGAACTCTAGGCAGGTGGTCCTTCTACAAACAGTACTCCTGGGTTTTCTGCTGCCCCAGACCCTTAAGTCATCTCAGGCACAAGTGTCCTGAACTCAGCTGAGACTCCACCAAGAGGGCTGGAGCTCTGGCTTCTGAGGCAGAAAGAGTCTGGTACCAAAGTCTTTCCAGTTCTGGCCTCTGTCTTGACAAGCAGGAAGCAGGGCCAAGTGAGAGCTGGCAGGAACCCCAAGATCAGAGGGGTCGTGTTGTGTGGTTGTAGACGAGGTGCTCCGTGTCTTCAGCGGTGGAGACAGTGGAGCTGGCTGGGGTGGGTGGTGGGTGGTGTCTGTGGAAGCTCTTTCTCTGGTTCTTGAAGAAGCAGTAACCCAGGATGGCTATCACCACCACGATGCAGGTGACCAGGAGTGCAGCAATGGCCACCTCCACAGAGCCTGGGGGAAGAAGCGGTAGAATGTGAGGCTCCCAAGCCCACCCTCACTCTGCAGAAGGGACATCAAGCCCATGGGTACCCAATTCAGAGAGGGCTCTGGATCTCAGTACCAAGCTGCACTATACTGTACTTCCCTCCCTTGCCCATGGCGAGCCTCGCTATTTGATGGCGGCACTCTGTCCCTATGGGTGACCTTAGAATCCTTCTTGACATGTATAGGTGGCCACAACTAATTATACAGAGCTGATTCCCTGAGCAGGTGCTATACATCCATCTTGGTGGCAGGGCAAACCAGGGCTTACCTACATTGGGAATGGGGCTCTCCCTCCTCAGTCCAAACACATCCTTCTCTGCAGAGTGACAGGGAGAGAGACCAGTTAGCACCAAGGGCCAGGAGACTCAGCTGCTCCAGTGTCCTGGTCCTCTCTGTCATCCTCTGCTACTGCCACATCAGGCATTCAGGACAGAGGGGTGACCTACTCTCCCCTCAAAGCCCCCAAGCTTACTAGAGATGCCATGACAAGACTCAAGACACTGCTCCTCCTCTTCAAAGTTGTTCTTGTTGCCGTAGCAACCACCATAGGTAAAGCGGGCGCAGCGTTCACTGAAGGGGTTGTAATACCAGCGAGGGATGCTTTCCTGGCAGAGTCCTGTGTCTGGCAGGTCCACACAGTGCCCTGGGGGTTAGAGATCAGGCAAAGGGGCAATGAGTCCACTGGGGCCTCCCTGCCATCACCCTCTAAGCCCCTTGTGGCTGCTGCCTACCACCCCCATGCTAGCTGATGCTCAGGGCTACTATGGCTCAGTGGCAGGTTCCCAGGCTCCGGAAACACCTGGCCCTCCTGCAGTGTTATCAGAGGCAAGGAAGACAAATTCTGGACAGTATCTTCCATGGACTCAAGGTCTCTACTTTCCACCACTGGATGGTTTCTTTTATTCACTATGAAGCCCAGGCTGATTTCAAACTTTTGATCCTCCTGCCTCAGCCTCCCAAGGGTTAGGATTACAAGTATGTGCCACCACACTGGGTTTGGTAATTTACAGTTTTTTGTTTTTTTTTTTTTACAGTACTGGTGCTTGAACTCAGAGCCTTGAGCCACTCCAGCAGCCCTGTTTTTGTAAAGTTTTTTTTTTGAGATGGGGTCTCTTAAACTATTTCCCTGGGCTGTCTTTGAACCTCAATCTTCCTGATCTCTGCCTCCTGAGTAGCTAGGATTACAGGTGTGAGCCACAGGCGCCCAGCTCAGAGTTTACATTTTTAACAAAGAGGATTATGGGCCTTAGGGTCTGAGCCTTGGCAGGCAAAATATCCAGCTAAAATTTATTCACATTTTAAAATTATATTTATTTTTATCATTATTTTCAACTTGTGGCAAGTCATAGTGGCTTCCCATTTATGGTAGTAACATGATTTTCTCCCCAGTGCTGGGGTTTGAACTCGGGCCCTCGTGCTTGCTAGGCAGGCACTCTACCAGTCCATATTTTCAGTCCACTTTGGTCTGGTTAATTTTTTTATTTTTTGGTGGTACTAGAGTTTGAACTCAGGGCCTCACCCTTGCCAGGCAGGTGCTCTATCACTTGAGCCACTTCACCAGCCCTGTTTTGTTTTTTTGAGATAGGGTCTCTTGAACTATTTGCCTGGGTTGGCTTTGAACCTCGATCCTCCTGATTTCTGCCTCCTGAGTAGCTAGGATTACAGACCTGAGCCCAGCAGGTCTGGTTATTTTGGAGATGGGGTCTCTTGAATTATTGGCCCAGATTAAGCCTCAAACCATGATCCTCTTTATCTCAGCCTCCCAAGAAGCCAGGATTACAGGCATGACCCACTGGTACCTGGCCACTTTATTTTCTGAATAGGGTCTTACTTTGCTTTTATGCCCAGACCAGTCTGGATCCTGATCCTCCTATTTACGCTTCCCATGTAGCTGGAATGATGACAGGTATGCACCACTACATTCAGTTTATTGGTTGAGATGGAATCTCACTGTTTGCCTGGGCTGGCCTCAAACCTCAATCCTTCCAATATCTACCTCCCAAGTAGCTAGGATTATAGGCGTGAGCCACCACGGCTAGCTGAAATTTCCTTTCAACACATATGATTAAATGATGTATGGTGGGTACAGCTAAAGTTATGGTGTTCAGACAAGTGGTAAGGAATGCTTGGGAAACACATAGCCAGAGTAGACAGCCCAGAAGCCAGCCAGGAAACAGGCTGCTCAACCTGAGTTAGGAAGCCTGGATGTTGGTGCCCACGGCCTGGCCCAGCCACTCCCTCAGGCTCTGCCAGGTGGAACAAGTGGGGATGGCAAGTACCAGGATCTGCCCTGACTCAGGGGACCTGGGAGGAACTCACCTTTGTCACTGGGGAAATTGATGCTCTGGAGCTCATCAAAGCCACTGGTGTCTGCAGAGATGAAAGATCAGAGGCTGGGGCTCAACAGTTTCCCCAGGGCCACAGAGCAGGGCTTTCAGGACCTGCTGCCCACCCCTCCTTCATCCCTCGGGCCTCACATTTCTCACAGGTGGCCTCGTCGGAGCCATCAGGGCAGTCTGGGGTATCGTCACACTCCAGGAAGCTGTCAATGCAGCAGCCATCGGTGCAGCGGAACTGGGTGGCATGGCAGCGGCCAGAGCACACTGGGTGGGGATGAGGTTAGCTCAGGCACAGAGCAGGTGCCAAAGGTCTGCGACTGACCCAGCCCTCTCTACCACCCCAGACTCCCTACATGTGAACTGAATGGATCCTGAGAGGAAGTTGCAGGGTTGGAAGGGACGGGTGTGGTCCCTACATGCTGAGGGGAGGCAGGGGCTGGGCAAAGGCAGGTTGGTGGGGGATAAGGTCATGGTAGGGGCTGGAGGACACAGGGAATGGAGAGCAGCCCACCTGGATGGTGCCTTTCCTTGGGGAGGCCTGGGGGAAGAGAACAGAGGAGTGAGTGAGAGGAGGCATGGCCTGGCGCCAGCAGGGATGACATGACTAGGATGGGGAGTGGGGACTCCCATAGCCCACCTCCCTGACATGAAGAGAGACCACGCACCTTCGGGGAAAGTCACGTGCGGCCCACCTTGCACATCCCGGCAGGCCAGCATACACTCTTCTTCTCGAAGGTAGTTGTTTTTGTTGCCCAGGCAACCTCCATAAATAAACCTCTTGCAGATCTGCTCTGCAGGATCATAGTACCAGCGCGGGAAGGAGCCCCGGCAGCGGCCCACCTTGCTGGAGGCAAGGCAATAGTCTAGGGGAAAGACAGTTTGTGAGGGGCCTGTGTGGTCCATCACTGGAGTGGGGTGGGCGTGGAGTGCTCCAGGCACCTCCTGCCCACCCCCTCCCTCACCTTCTGTTTGCTTGGTGGACAGCACAGTGATAGTGACGTTGGCTGGGCTCTCTAGCTGGTCTGGACCAGTCTCTGTCATCTGGAACAGGTAGGTGCCTTCCTTGAGTCCCCACAGCTCCACCTGGTCCGGATTTTTCCTCTACACACAGGACTGGCCATAAGGCTTATGTAACGACCTTCCTCCAGACCCCCCAATGCCCTTGGGGTACCCCAGGTCCTCCCAGCCGTCCCCCTGGGAAGAGCACAGGGATTTGGTATTAAATGCACTCTCACCTTCTAGCCACCTGCAGTCACTGGTTGGCCTATGGCCCCAGGGAAGCAGTCCCCAGTAGGCAGAGAGGATAAGGAGTCAGGGAGCCAGCCCAGTGTCTCACCTCTATCCTGACGTCTGTGTCACCCTGCAGTAGGTGCCAGTCTATGTTGTTCACATCCTTCAGCACCAGGGGTTCCTGTGGTTGTACCTTCAAGTCTATGCCCACCCAGGACCTGGGGATCTGGGACCCTGGGGGAAGGTAAGGTCAAGTCAACCCTCAGTGAATGGGCCAGGCTCTCCTGAGGAAGTGTGGGGTGACAATATGCACGACACCTAGGCCAACCTGGGACTCAGCAGCCTGCCTGGGACACAGGGGCTAATGACAACACCAGCACCTTTTTCTCTATTCAAAGACATCATGTCTGTGGTATATGAAGACATTTTTAGCCAGGCACCCATGGCTTACGCCAGTAATCCTAGCTACTCAGGAGGCAGAGATCAGGAGGACTGTGGTTCAAAGCTACCATGGGCAAACAGTTTATGAAACCCTATCTCAAAAATACCCAATACAAGAAAAAAAAAAAAAAGGGCTGGTAGAATGGATCAAGATATAGGCCCTGAGTTCAAACCCCAGTACTGCCAAAAAAAAAAAAAAAAAGACATTTTTATGCTGTAAAATCCACTTTCTGAAGCAAATTACTGAACAGCATGTGCTATTTGATCTCACCAAGGAAAAAAGTTTGTATGCGTGTGTGTGCGTGCATGTGCATGTGTAGGAGTGAACTTGTTCTATTTTCTATAAGCAAATACTTGTGCTAATGACTTAAAAATGACAATTTTTAAAACCAAAAAAGGAAATGTGATTAAAACTCATCACCCCTCACTCTGTGGCCTAGATCATGCTGAGAAGCCATCTAGACAGAACCATTAAGCAGTGTCTCCAGGGAATAATGCAGGAGGCCTTGGTGCCCCAGGGTTAGTGGCCACGGAAACAAGGGCATCTCTGTCACCTGCACAGACTCTGCCTCCAGTTACAAGGGGTCCCCAGGGAACCCTGATGGCTAAGGCTTCCTCCATCTGAGGGTTAGGAATCAGGTAAGAGACATAGATACAAAGCAGGATTCCTGCCTGTAGTGGGAAGAATGGTGGCCCTCCCAAAACATGTATCCACGGAACCCCCCTGGAATCTATGAATGTGACCTTATTTGAAATGGGTCTTTGCAGAGTTTATGTAAAGGATTTCCAGAACATGCTGGATTAGGTGGTTAGGCCCTAAATCCAGTGACAAGTGTCCTTGTAAGAAACAGAAGAGGACTGGGGATGTAGCACAGTGGTAGAGCACTGGCCTAGAATGTGCAAGGACCTGGGTTCCATCCCCAGCACTGAAAAAAGTAAAATAAATGAAATAAAATACAAGGAACAGACAGCCAGGCATGGTGGCATACAACTATAATCCTGGCAAATGGGAAGCTGAGGCAGAGGATAAGGAGTCCAAAGTCAGCCTGGGGCTACATAGCAAGACTGTCTCAAAAAACAAAAACAAACAAAATAACAACAGAAGACAGAATGAAAAAGAAAGGCAGAGATTGGAGCCATAGCCAAGGGACACCTTGAGCCCCCAGAAGTTGGAAGAGGTGAAGAAGGATCTTCCCCTGGTGGCACTTTTTTTTCTTTGCAATGCTGAGGTTTGAACTCAGGACTTCAAGATTCCTTTACCACTTGGGCCACACCTCCAGCCCTCCTGGTGACACTTTGATTTTGGATTTCTGGCTTCCAGCCCTGGAACAGAATAAAGTTCTGTTGTTCTAAGCTTCCAGTTTGTAGCAGTTATAATTGGAGCCCTGGAAGTGAATACAGAGCCCGGTGGGGATTACAGTCCAGCTGGGCAGAAGCAGTATATGCCCAAGACAAGGCAGAGGGTGCCAAAGAAGGCAGAGGGTGCCAAAGGAGGCAGAGACCACGCATGGCAAGCGAGGGAGGAACGGAAAGCTTTCTGAAGAAGGGAGGAAGATTTTTATGTCATTTTTCTTATTTATTTGGTTTGGGGAAAAATGTGGGGTGTTGCTATGTGTAGACGGTAGAAAACACGAGACATAAAATCAAGGATGTAGGGATTTGCAAGGCTAGTTTGGTGCACAGTAAGGAGACTAGCCAGGCTGGGACAAACCTCAAAGCACCCTGGATGCCAGGCCAGAAGGGAGTGTGGACCCAGCGGGAGTGACATTCAATAGTAAATAACTGGTGGTACAGGAAGGAGACAGACAATGGCCATGAGCAGTGGAGCAGAGTCCTGGAGGCTCTGGGCACAGCAGACATTGACCTCGAGATGCTGATCAAGGTCCAGGAGTCCTAAGGGAGAGGCCCAGAGTGCTGTTGTTCCGGGCACAACTGTTTACATTTCTGTTTGGAAGGGTTTCCATTCAGTGAGAGGCTGGCTGGTGGACCAGGGCAGGGATTCAGGGCAGATACAGCAGGAGGGGTCTGAGTCACAGGGAAGCCAAGAGAACAAAAAGGAGGATGTGAGACACACAGGGGGGCAGTGCTCACACTTCTCAGGGGAGGCTCTGGGAACTGGGGAGGAAGAGGCAGAGCAGGGGCAGAAGAGAAACTGGGTTTACAGGGAACATGTGGGTTCTTCACAAGAAGCTGAATTTGAAGCAAGGAACCAGTGGGCAGTGGGAGCCAGATGTAATCACTGTGGAGAGACCAGGGCTGGGGACAAACCAGGACATGTGTTTACTAACAAAGCCTCCACTCTGCTGGGTGCCGTCTGTGTGTGCTAGGCACTACAGTGAGTACTCTGCCTGTGTCATTGACATCAGAGGCCATACCTGCAGTCTGCAGGGTGAATTCAGTCCACCGTCTGGCATATTATTAAGTGGATAGACAAAAACTACACCAAAAAAAAAAAAAAAAAAGCTTTTGGACGGCTAGGCTTGACCCCTAACCCTCCAAAAAAAACCATTTGTGTCTGTAAGTTGGACACAACACCACAGCATCAGTGCTGTGTTCACATAGTATCTGTGCCCACTCTGATGTTACAGTAGTAATACAGTCATGACAGAGACTACGGCACACAAAGCCTAAAATATTTATTATTTCGACCTTTATAGAAAAAGTCTGTGGGCTCTTGCTATCATTTACCTTCATAAGCAGCCTGCCACACCTGCACTCATTTCAGACAAGAAGAAGGGTCATGGTTAAGTTTCTAAACAGCAGAGCTGGGATTTGAACTCAGGCCTATCTGACTCCACAGCTTTCCAAAATACCAAACTGCAGTTTTGTTTTGCTTTTTGGGTAGGGGGAGCAGTACTGGGGTTTGAACTCAGGGTCTTGTGCTTGGCTAGGCAGCCATGCCCCCAGCCCTACAGGTGTGACTCCAGTTGCTTTTATAATCTTGGGCTTTTTGTTTTTTAGCCTAGGCAATAAATATATGATATAAAATCTGAAAGGGACAAAAGATTAATGAATACCAGGCTACTTGGGAGGCAGAGAAAGAAGGATCATGATTTGAGACCAGCCCAGGCAAAAAAAAAAAAAAAAAAAATTAGCAAGACTATCTCAAAAAGGGTGTGGTCTGTATCCCAGCTACTGAGGAGATAGAGGTAGGAGGATCCCAGTCTGAGGTCAGTCTGGTCAAAAGCAGGAGACTCTATCTGAAAAAGTAAAATCGAAAGGACCAGGAACACGGTTCAAGTGATAAGAATGCTTGCGTAGAAAGTGCATGGTCCTGAGTTCAATCCCTAACACTGAGAAAAAAAGTCAAAAAGGGTAGTTCCCACTTCTCTTTTATCACCATGTTCCTTCCCCCAAAAGTATCCACTTTTACCAGTTTGTGTGTGTGTGTGTGTGTGTGTGTGTGTGTGTGTGTGTGTATTATCAAGAGACATTTCATGGCATTTGAATTCATGGCATTCCTTCCTTCTTCCCTATACCATGCCACCTTAGGGTTTATTGTCATTAAAACAGCATCCCAGTATTCAGTTAGAGGATTTGTTGATAGACACCAAGATTGTTTCCAGGTCTTCACTGTTAGAAAACTGCTACAGTGAGTAAGTGACTGGTAAGCTGTTGCACACATGGATAAATTGAGCCTCAAGATGAATGAATTCCTACTGCCTTCCATAGATATGGCCCCATTGTCTTCCACGAGGCTCTACAGTTATGGCAAGTGTAAGAGTGAATGCACAGGGTGCTGGTGGCTCACCCCTGTAATCTTAGCTACTCAGGGGTTAAAACCACAGTCCCACCAAAAGCAAAAACAAAAACAAGTATAAGAATGAACACAAAGCAAGAGAAGATAAAGAGGTAAAGGACAGCTGGAAGGAGGCTGAGTCACAGGAGTCCTCTTTGATTAGGCAGAGAAAGTACAGCCACTCATGAAGATGCTCACAGAAACCAAGCACTCATGCCTGTAATCCTAGCTCTTCAGGAAGGAGAGACTAGGAGGATCAAGGTTCAAAGCCAGCCTGGGCAAATAGGTCATGAGACCCTATCTCAAAAATATCCATCACAAAAAAGGGCTGGTAGTAGAGTGCCTGCCTAGCAGACATGAAGCCCCAAGTTCAAATCCCAGTACTGCAAAAAAAAAAAAAAAGAAAAAAGATGATCATAGAGATGAGACCAGGACAGGACACCTGGGACAGCAAAAGGGATGGGAGAGGTGAGGTTTCATAGAGGAATATAGCACAAGGTACAGGGACCTCCAAAACTGAGAAAATGGAAACTGGATTCCAGGAATTTAGGGCAAGGAGGACACGGAAAGCAGGAATGGAAAGCAGTTGTCTGAAAGTGACCATGGCTCAGGGTCTTGCCTGATGATCAGGTGAGGACCGTGAGAGGTGAGCCAAAGGGCAGTAGGCTTGAAGGAGCCTCTTCCTCCCTCCTTGCATTGAAAGGGGGAAAGTGGACAGACTACTTAACAGTCTACCTAGCATACAGACAGTGAGCCCCTCATTCAGCCCCGTAGGTGCAAGTGGTGGACAGGGTGATGCATCAGACCTGGGGCTCAATCAAGATCCCCCTCCCCCCAGCTCTGTCCTCATTAAGCTCCAGGCTCCAGGACCAAGGGGCAGATGCCCTGCCCTACCACACCCTTCATCCTACCCCCAGGAGAGCAAAGGGCTAGAAAGGCAATAAAACCAGCCTCCTCCCCAGGCTGCCAGGACATCTCCAGGGAAACCAACTCCACCTCCTAAACCACTCTGCCATAGGAAGGAGGGGGGAGGGCAGGAACTGGGGGACAGGAGGAACAAGGTGCTTGGCCTCCAGCTGCAGGAATCTAGACTAGACTGGCCTGGCCACAGGCTGAGAAAAGGGAACAAAGCAACCTGGGTAGGATTTCTCTGTCCAACACAAGAATGAAAGGCCACCCACCTAACCTTGCCTGCTCTCCCCAACCCTCATCTGCTAGACTTGACTGAGAGTAGACCCCAACAGATACACACACACGCACGCACACACACACAGCTTCCCCCACTTCCAAAAGCACTGGAGCACCCTGAGATGGCCTAGAATGGCCTGGGGCTCACACGTGGCCTAAGTCCTACCCAGCTCCTTAAATGCCCCAGGAAATCCCCACTCCACCCTATTTTGTGCCAAATGGGCCAGTTCTGGGGGTTTCCAGAAGAGGCAGGCTGGACCCAAGGCCAGGTGGCCCTGATCTAGCTCAGCTCCCTGACCAAAGTCTCAGGGTCTGGCCTGGAGTGGGGCTCCCATGGGGATTCTGTCAGGGCAGGAAGGGCACAAGCAGTCAATTAGAGTCATCACCACCTACACTACCTGCTGTTTCCTTGTAGAACTGGCTCCAGCCCTGGCCCAGCAGGGCTCCTGTGGCCCTGCCTAGCTCACAGACAGCATCCACCACTTTCTAGAATCCCATTCTCACCTCTCCTCAGAGACACCAGAGAGCTACTGGAAGGCTAGGGACAAGAGAGGACCCTTAGTCTGGAAGAAGTACTAGCCCAGGAAAAGGCAGAGAGGAAAGTCTCTTCTCTACTTTACAACCTGAGACCACCAAAGCCCCAGCCAGCTCTGACCCCTGGACTCCTTATGCTTTGCTTCTGTTATTTGCTGGCTGTCTTGGGTCGGAGTGCCAGGTTTCTACCAGAATGGTGGTCCTTTTGGAGGCTCCCTCTGTGGTGAGTCTCAGGTTTATCATTTATAATAGGCATTAATCCTGGGCAGATTATTTAACACAGGGGGCTGAGTTTCCTAATTTAAAAAGCAGGTGACTACCAATAGTGTCCTAAGAGACTGCTGACCTGAGGACTGACAGGATGGGTGTGTGGCACAGCAATCAGAAAACTCTAGAGTGCTGGCAGAGGTTTTTTCTTGTGACCCACTCCTACCCTGGAGCCCCACCAGGCCAGAACGGCGGGTAAAGAGAATGAGGGGTAAAGAGAATGAGGTCGAGGCTCTAAGTGGTCCTGATCCCAGCTGACTGCTGGGTCCTAGGAGGAACTAGAAGCCCTCACTTTGGCTTGATCCCTAGAAGTAAACAAAGTGAGCAGACAGCTCAGCTACCAGATCCAAGCAGGGAGAGCCCTGCCTGGCTCACGTGCACTACCTGCGCACCTGTCTGGACAGCTGACATCCCTCACCTACCAGGTACACATACCAGCTGGTTGACTCACCCAGCAACTCTCCTCACTCCCCATCCAGAGCCTCTAGGACTGTGCCCACAACACTGCCCCTCTCCTTGGGGGTCAACCCCATCCTGGGTTTGTGCCTATTATTGTTCTTATTTTTGGTAGGGCTGGTGTTTGAACTTGGGGCCTTGTGCTTGTGAAGCAGGAGCTTCACTGCTTGAGCCACACCACCAGTCCCCCATCCTGGGTTTGATCTGCAGTCTCTGTGGTCTGGCTGTGTCATCATGTGCCCCCCACACCCCAAACCACACAGGGCCCTGGGCGTTGGGCTGTCTCCCTTCCCTACTCATATCCCCTTTCCTTTGTTTACTGTTCATACTGCCTACCTGGAAGGAGTCGGGTGGAATTTGACTCTTCCCTAACTTCTTTCTGATCCTCTCTCCCCCAACCCCCCGCTCCTCCCACTACCCGCCACCTCCAACCAGCACCATTCATCCCGGCATCCTCCTGCTCACCTCCAAAGCCCTGGGTCCGCAGCTCGCGGTAGGAGTGGTAAACCTCCCGCGTGAGGTAGTTGATGAAGCCATCCCTGGGCGCGAACTTGCACACGAAGTTCTTCTCGTACAGGCAGTTGATGAGGAAGCAGGCGTTGACGGCGTCCTCGCCGCCGTCCGGCTGCAGCTCCACAAGCGCCAGGTTGCAGCTCTGGGTGGTGCAGCAGGCGCGCACGCAGTCCCAGCCGCGGCGCACGGTCGGGGAGCCCAGGAAGGTGGCCCCGTTGCTGACCGACGCCTCGGTGTCCAGTACGAAGGCAGGTACCCCGGTGGTAAAGCGGTCCAGGCAGGCGGCTGCCCCGGGAGGGCCAGGAGGTGGAGGCGGCAACCCGGTCTCGGTGCCCTGGAGACCGAGCGCGCACAGGAGCCACACGGCGACCGCAGGGGTACGGGCTTGGGCGAGGCGGGCGCCGGCCATCGTCCTCCCAGGGCCGTCGCCCTCCTCCCCAGGGGGATCACCTTCACAGTGCGGGCCTCTGGGATCCTATGGTGCTTGTGATCTGAGAGAGGAGGGGTGGGGACAGGGAAGACACACCTGATCAGCCAGGGAGCCTTCGAGGGAGGCGGGCCGACTGGGAGGAAGTGGGGGGGAGGGGAGCACCCCGGAGTGGAAAGGGGCGCGCGGCCGACCCTCCCGGACACACTCTAGTGACTTGGATGAACCGCTAAGGAGCTCACGTACCCGGACACACGCAGGAGCGCAGAACAAACGGCTAAGCATGCTCCAAGGCCTCTCCGCCTAGCGCTCCCGGGCCCCGGTTACCTGCGCAGGTGAATGGGGTGGGGCCGGGCCTGCCAAGGATCCGGCTTGAGCCGCGGTTTCCGCCGGCTGCCGGGTGCGCTGGGGATCTGCCACCTTCTTCCCCCTAGTTTCTGGTGAAACTGAGTCAGCGCGGCCGGGGCGGGACCGACATTAACCCCTGCGCCGCCAGCCCCGCCCACGCCCGCTGCGCCCGCACCCGTCCAGCCCAGCCCAACTTCCGTCCCGCCCCGCCCCGCCGCCGCCGCCGCCGCCGCTGCCGCAGCCTATAGCCCCGGGGCGCTCCGGGGGGTCAGGAGGCGCCAAGCCTCCGCCTAGTGCCCTCCGGGCAACGCTGAGCGGGCTCCGCAGGCTCCGGCCTCCGGGGGGCCCCTGCGCCCCACAGGTGCATCCAGACGCGCCAGGTCGGGCGCTCGGCGCCGGCTGCCTCCGGCTTCCCTTTCTGGTTGGAACCAGCATTCCATGCCCCAGGCCCTTGGGAGGGGGTTGGAGAAAGAAGCGAGGGAAAACCTGATGCACGCGATATCAACAGCGATGTCGGTAGCCAGCCCTCTGGACACTTTTTTTTTTGTCTCCGCGCGGGAAAAGAACCCAAAAGCTGGGTGGCTACACGTAGGATCTGCTGGCACTTGGGATCTGCCGGCACTTGGGATCTGCCGGCCCTGAGATCTGCTGGCATCTGAGTTGTGCGCTGTAGTGGTGCATTCTGGCAGAGTGAGAAACCGAGGCTATTCCCTTGTGCAGGCTTCCTTTCTGTTTGTATCGGTTTCCTTTCTTAACCTCTCATCGGTGCCCCCGCCCCCTTTCCCTGGAGCTTAGGTTTCTCTCCTCTCCCACAAAGGGAGTGAGTGCTTTTGGTCAGAGGCTGACCACTCTTCCAGTGACATGTCATCCTTGGCCGCTTGGAAGTTCCAGCTCATGGAAATAGCTCAGTTAATGCCCTGCACACAACCATTGGTGGACTCCGTAAAGACTCTTAGCTCTTCTTGCGTGAAATACTCTTTAAAAGACTATTCTCTACACAGGATTAGTCCCATTAACACTACCCTCTCCGTCAAGAAAAACGATTCCACTCCTTTTCATGATGTCTTTAAAAAAAAAAAAAAAATCCTGATCTCCTGGGGGCAGGTGGCTCACATGCCTGTAATCCTAGCTACTGCAGAGGCAGAGATCAGGAGGATGGCAGTTCAAAGCCAGCCAGGGCGAATAGTTTGTGAGATCCTATCTCGAAAATACCCAACACAAAAAAGGGCTGATGGAGTGGCTAAAGTGGTAGCGTGCCTGCCTAGTAAGTGTGAGTTCAAATCAAACCCCAGTACCACCAAAAAACAAAAAAAAAACCAACCCTGATCCATTGGGAATATCATTCTCCATTTCTCTGCCCCTGGCATAGAGGCAGCCATGATGGCTTGCTGGAAAAAGCACATACTGTCCCAAGTTCCCTCTCCTGCCTTCGCCAAGTGTTTATACATGAATGAACCCTAATACAGGAGAATATCATCTTATGGTGACATTTCATTGCATCCATTATACACCACGTTACAGACACCTGCATTTGTCGGGTATGGGGAATGTCCAGTCCCCCTTCCTAAGCACTTCTACACATGGCCCAATGTAATCAAGTTGGACCAAAGAATAGGTACTGTCCTCATCCCCATGGTACAGGTGAGCCGACTCAAAAGAGGTGAGCTGCAGCAATGAAGTGGCTGAGCAGGCATGGGAGCCCAGGCCGACCAAGGTCATTGCTTCAGGACCTAAACACTGGGCTCCTTGGTACTTGCGGTTCTGACTTCACCTAGAAGTTCCTGTCTCACCTTAGACTCCACTTGCCAGAAACACAAACTCCTTCCCTTGTCCTGGTGCATGCTGTTGTGTTTTGAGTATGGTTTGGGTCCTCTGAAATGCATGTTGAAATTTGATTGTTGTTGTGGCGGTGTTGAGAGGTGGGGCCTTTAAGAAGTGATTAGGTCATTAAGATGGATTAATGCCTTTCTCAGGGACTGGGTTCTTTCTGGAAGGACTGGATTAGTTACCATGAGAGCAGGTTGTTGCAGAATGAGGCTGCCTCTTCTGTACACACCCACTTGCTCTTCTACTTTTCTGCTTTTTTTTTTTTGAGGTATTGGGGTTTGAACTCAGGGTCTACACCTTGAGCCACTCCACCAACTCTTTTTGTGATTTTTTTTTTCGAGATAGGGTCTCTTGAACTATTTGCCCAGACTGGCTTCGAACCTCGATTCTCCTGATCTCTGCCTCCTGAGTAGCTAGGAATACAGGTGTGAGCCACCGACACCCAGCTCTGCCATTATTTTGATGCTGTGTGAGGCCCCTCTCAGATGTAGGTGCCAGATCTTGGACTTCCAGTCTCCAGAACCACCAGCTAAATAAACTTTTTAAAAAATTTTTTAAGTTATTTAGTCTCAGGTGATCTGTTATAACAACAAAAATTGCTCTTATCATTTTTTCTTGTCTATTCTCACTGCTGCCCATGCTTAGGTTCTGTGCCAGCTTCCCAGTAGACTTCAGGCCACCTGCACCCAGCCATGAGGTTCCTTCTTCCAGCTCCCCCTTAGTCTGCTCTTCACCTCTTCAGACCCTCAGTGGTCCCCAACAGGCGCCCCTGGCAGAGTGCACAGAGCCAGCCATTGCTGCACAGATTTATGAAGTTAATTTGTGGAGTGGTACAGTGACAGCTGTCAGGGCACCAGTTAAAGTCTTCCTCTTCCATATGGAAAAGTGAGGCCTGGAATGTATTCATTTAGAGACCCAGAGCCAGGGCCAGTCCTGGGGCTTTTCACTGCCAACTGTGGGCCCTTTCCACGATTCTGAGCTGCCTTCCTACAAAGCATGTTCACACCATACTGTTTCCAGTTCCATGTTGCTAACCAAGGGGAGCTGCCCTTGAGTAGGTTTCTCAGGCCATGGAGCCCTCCTTCCCTCGGTGAGCTTTGGGACCAGTGGGGCTGTGTTCTATGTCACAGGCTTCATTCCTATCAGCAGTGGATGGTTTGGTGAGACTATTCCATCCTCAACACCACTCCTAAAGACAAAATACTGACTTCCTTCTATGGAGGAGTTCCTGTAGGAAGGAATGGTCTACAAAAATGGTGGCCAACAGTACCTTGTTCTCCTGTGTGCACACGCTGTTCCTCCCACCTAAAGGTGACTCTGTTTTCCTTCCTTTGAATCTGTAGCTTGCTTTGACCAATAGGATACAGCATAGGGGGTGCCAGGTGACTAACACTTGGCCTTAGACATCTGTGGTTTCCATTTTCCCATCTAGGAGCCAGTTATGATGTAAAGTTTGAGTACCTCACAGCAGAGAAAAGAATCAAGAGAGGAGGGTCGGGAGAAGCCGGTCGTGGTGGCTCACGCCTGTAATCCTATCTGCTCAGGAGGCAGAGGATCATGGTTTGAAGCCAGCATGGGCAAATAGTTTGCAAGACCCTATCTCAAAAAGCTCATCCCCAAAACAGGCAATACGTATATGGGCTGGTCTCCTGGCTCAAGTGAACAGCTCCTGCCTAGCAAGCATGAGGCCCTGAGTTCAAACCCCAGTGCCACCAAAAGAAAAAAAAAAATTTGTGAGCTAAATAAACTTCTCACTTTATAAGTTACCTAGTCTCAGATGTTTTGTTGTAACAACAGAAAATAGGCTAAAATGTGTATGGCAGGTTATGGGGAATTTTTTTTTTTCCAGTACTAGGGTTTGAACTCAGAGCCTACACCATGAGCCACTCCATCAACCCTTTTTGTGATGGGTTTTTTCAAGACAGGGTCTCAATAACTATTTTTCTGGGCTGGCTTTGAACTGTGATCCTCCTGATCTCTGCCTCTGTCACTAAGATTACAGGCGTGAGCCACTGGCTCCCAGGTATGGGGAATTTTTTATGTTTTAAAAAATTTTAAAAAGTTTCTAAACTCTTTTATAATAAAAAAAAAGTTTTAAACGTGAAAGAAAAGTCATTTAAAGAAATCCTGGTTCTACTGAGTCTGCCTATTGCATTTGATCCCGGCCCTGGACCTGTGCCAGGCCAGGAAAGCAGGGCAGACACCTCCCCTCCATCCAGTCCTGTGCCCTCCTTGTCTCCCTGCCCTGATGTGGCCCTATGGTTCTGGTGGCTTTTTCCTTCCATCTTATCTCAGGTCTTGGGCAAATTTACTGATAGATGGTGACATGCAAGGGCAGGGAGGAGATGTGTGTCAGCACTGAGGTGGAGGAATGCCAGTAAGGAACCTGACGGCCACAACTTCATTTGCAGGCCATTGGGCTTTCCAGCATCCGTGCCGAGAGCTCCTGAAGACTCTCTCTGTCCCTAGTTTACAGGTGAAAAGCTTGGGGCAGGAGTCACACTTCTTGATGTGGGCAGCACCACCTCTCCAGGTAAGCACTTTAGCAATGGCCGCCTACCTGGTCTCTTCCAACCCTCCTATGCCCTCCGATTCTCTGTCCATACGACAGCCAGGGAATTGCTTGGAATCTAAATCCTAACATGCCAACCCACCCATCCACCAAGGTTAAGACTCTTCAGTGACTGCTCAGTGCCTTAGGATGGAGACAAAACTCCTCAACAAGGCTCACACAGGTCTCCACCTGGGTACGTCCACCTCTTCTGCCTCGTGGCTTGCTCCTCTCTCTGTTCCAGCTCCATTAACCTTCTTTTAGTCCCCTGTACTCAGCCACAGGGCCTTTGCATATGCTCTGGCTCCTTTCTTTTTTTGTTTTTTCTTTTTAGCATAGACATTGTTTTTTCTTTTTAGCATAGACATAGGAAAGTTTATTAAGGAAAAGAAGGAACACTTTTGTGGGAAGGAAGGGTTCTGAGTAGGTTGTCCTGCTCTGCCTTCTGACAGGCTCTTTCCTGCTGACCCCTGTGCCTAGTTACTCTGACTAAACCTTCAGAATTCAACTCAAATATTTTCATTCACTAGGAAACACCCTCATTAGACATTGTTAGACAACTCCCTACCTTTTCTTCAAATCGCTACATGTATTTGTAGCTTTACATTTACTCCCACGGTAGACTATAAATTTCATGATGGCAGAGACTATCTTGCCCTCTTGTCATTTTTGTTCTTACAGTACTGGGATTTGAACTCAAGGTCTCATGCTTGTTAGACAGGTACTCTACCACTTGAGCTGCTCTGCCAGCCTTTTTTTTTTTTGCATTGGTAGTTTTTGGGATGGGGCGCTTGAACTGTTCGCCCAGGCTGGCCTAGAACCTCAATCCTCCTGAACTCTGCCTCCTGAGTAGCTAGAATTACTGAAGTCAGTAATGCCTAGCATATCACCTCATTTAATTCTGCCAGTGACCCCATTTTCCAGATGAGAAGTAAGACCCAAAGTGATCATGGAACTTAGCAAAGATTACAGAACCAATGCAGAGCAAAGCTGAATTTCAGCTCAATCCTGTGAGTCTGGGCTTTTTAAGGCTACCACCCTGGCCTCTGGCCCTCAAGCACCTGACCTCTCTTGTCAACCTGGGACCTAAAATTCCATTATCAAAGACTCCTGGGACTAAGGACTTCCCTAGCCTTTTTTTCTTTCTTTTTTTCTTTGAGACAGGGCCTCTCTCTGTAGCCTAGACTGCCCGGGAACTCAGAATTCTCCTGCTTCTGGTGCTGGGACTACAGTTCTGTATCACCTCACCCAGCGCTAGCTGTTTTTTGCTCTTTTTCTTTCTTTCATTGTTTTTTTTGTGTGTGGGGGTGTCAGGTTTTACTGTGCAGCCCAGGCTAGCCTGGAACTTACTATGTGGCCCAGGCTGGCCCTCAAACTCATGATCTTTGTCCTTAGCTCCAGGTGCTGGGAATACAAATGTGCACCACCACACCTGGCTTACACTGACCTTTTTCTACAGTTAGGAATTAACATTGCATGCTGAAACTCGACTTCTTAAAGGGAACCACTACAAGACCTAAAGGGAAATATATAAACAAGAATTGGGATGTGGAAAGGGAAGGGAACAAGGAAGTTAGTGCTAGATTTTTTTCCTTTTCTTTTTCTTTTCTTTTTTTTTTTTTTAGCATTACTCAGGTCCTATACCTTGAGCCACTCCACCAGCCATCTTTTTTTGTGATTGCTTTTTTTTTTTTTCTAGATAGGGTCTCACAAACTGTTTGCCCGAACTAGCTTCGAACCATCATCCTCCTGATCTCTGCCTCTTGAGTAGCTAGGTATGACCCACTGATCTAAACCAGATTGTTCTCCTGGCTTCCTCCCTTTTCCCCTTCATTAAGCTAACTGGAACAGCAAGGTTTTCATCAGAGCAAAACAGTAATCTTCCTACCCTAATCTCTAGGATGGAACAGAGAATCTGTTGTGGAATTGAATTTGAAAGATGCCCAGCTAAAAAATTTAGAAATTTTTGTATAACAGACTAAAAAAACAATAAAAGCTGGGTGTGGTGGTGCATGCCTGTAATCCCAGCACTGGGGAGACAGCAGAGACCAAGGCCAGCTTGAGCTACAGTGAAACACTGTCATGAAAAAAAAATTAAAATTAAAAAATATAAATAAATTAAAATGCCAAACCAAAAAAAAATCCATCCTCCCTTTAGAATGCAAGTATGCTCACACCTAGGTTAATTTAAGTTGGGTGGACAGGTTTCCTCAGTGTCAGGAAAGAGCTGAATCAGAGCAGGGTCATGTGACAATAAACATGGCTTCCTGAGCACTTGGCTGTGGGGACCAGGCACTGTGGAGCAGGCTTGATAAATTTGCCTTTATAAGCACGCAGGCCAGGCTGATGGCCGCTCCCATTCAGACACTAGGGGCACCTAGGCATCATAGGTAACCAGCCTCCAACCACCGACCATGTCACGCTCTGAGGAGGAACCCTGCCAGCCAGGGACCTGCACCTGCTCCAGGGAGGTGGGATGCAGGAGGGCCTCAGGTGAGTACTTCAGTCTGTTTTGGAGCTGGCCATGGGACACGATGGGAGCCCCACACCTCTCAGGACTCAGGGCTCCCATCCTTCCTCTTCCTGGGGCCATGGCAGCCTCTTGACCTTTGCTTGTCTGCAATTTATGTCCCTGTGGGCCCCAGCAGCTGCTGAAAGGGCGGTTGGGGCATGGCTCTGGAGTGCCACTCTCTGGCTAAGAAAAACCAGGGGACTGGCATTTCCCAGCAGTAGACAAAGGCCTGTTGATCTTTGACCCTCACCCCTCCCAGGGAGCCCTGGCCCTCCCACCTCCCTTCTCCCTGCTGGCCTCTCCCTCTGTTCTCTGTCCCCTCTGCTCTTGCCCGCTCCTTGCCCGCACCGATCCTTCCATGCTGTCCCCAAGCCCTACTCCCTGCCCACCTCCCAGCCCCGACACAGAGAGCCCAGGCAAGAAGGTCCAGTGGGCTTCTGAGAAGAGAAGGAGGACGTCATCCATAGACTCAGAGTCAAGGGCACATGCCGACCCCTCCAAGGTTCCCAGGTCCCGGAGACCCATCCGGCTGACAGTGAAGTATGACCGGAGTCAGCTCCAGCGCTGGCTGGAGATGGAGCAGTGGGTGGATGCCCAGGTGCAGGAGCTCTTCCAGGTAAGTAGCACAGGGTGGGGAGCGAAGAAGGGATCTGGGGCCCAGCTGGGTACTGGGAGCCTCCTGGACACGCTCCCCCAGGGAGAGATCTTTTCCTGTAGGTGGAAGGGAGAAGGTCTTGACTGTGCCTCTAACTCTCTTTGTAATCTGGGCAAGGCCTTTTAACATTCTCAGACTCAGTTTCCTCATCAGTAAAATGGGGCTACCAATGCCTGTTATATCTCTTTGGTAGGACTTTGTAAAGCTCAAATGACACAGGCTCCTTTGCTTTATCTTATGTGTTTATTTTATTGAGACAGGGTTTTATTATTTAGCCCATGCTGGCCTTGAACTCTCAATCCTCCTGCCTCAGTCTCCCAAGTGCTGGGATTATAAGTATGTGCCACCACATTTGGCATTTTATGTCTTAATTAACTCTTTTCAACACACATACAGGTATAGAACTACATTGTCCAAAACTGTACTTATCAGCTATGTGTAGCTATTAACTTTAAATGAATTAAAATTAAATGAAAAAAAAATCCAGGTCCCCAGTCATACTAGCCACATTTCAAATGCTAACTAGCCCTGTGTACCATTTGTCTGCATAGATGTGGACCATCTCCACCCTCTTGGAATGGTCAGTGCTGGGCCAGAGAGTAAGAACAACACTGGTGAACACTAGTACCATAATCCCACCTGGCTTTGACCCTGGCTCTGATTGACTCTTCCTATCCCCTACCCTGGGAAAAGGATGGGACCCCCTGGCCCTTGGAAGTATCACTTCCTTACTTAGATACCTCCAACTCTGGATCCAAGAGTTTTAGCAACCACTGCTTTCAACAGAATAACATTCTGCTGGGTGCCAGTGGCCATGCCTGTAATCCTAGCTACTTGGGAGACTGAGATCCAGAGGATTGCAGTTCCAGGCCAGTCTGGGCAAATAGTTCAGGAGACCCCATCTCCAAAATAACCAGACCAAAATGGACTGGAGGTGTGGCTCAAGCGGTAGAGCACCTACTTTGTGAAGCTCTGAGTTCAAACTTCAGTCCCACCAACAAATAAACAAAAATACCCATTTTGAGCTCTTTGCTATATACTAGGCACAACACCAAGCGCAGACTGCATTATTTCATTGAGGTTTCTCCAACTCCTCTAGATATGTACTTTTTTTTTTTCAGTACTGGGGCTTGAACTCAGGACCTACACCTTGGACCACTCCACCAGCTGTTTTTTGTGATTTGTTTTTTTTAAAGATAAGATCTTTTGAACTATTTTCCTGGGCTGGCTTCAAACCTCGATCCTCCTCATCTCTGCCTCCTAAGTAGCAATGATTATAGGTGTGAGCCACCAACACCTGGCTAAGTGTATATTGTTTTTACAGCTGTGGAATAGAAGCTTAGATGTTGGTGACTTGTCCAAGGTCACACAACTAGGAAGCCATGGGACCAGGAGCTCAGCTGTACCTTTGGCTTCAGAGCTTGGGCACTATGAGGGCAGTCAATGGTTCTCGACACCTGAAATACTTAAGAAAAAGCCCCCTATGCCCTGCTCCACCCCAAGTGGAGCCCAGGCACTGAACAGGGGTTTTTGTTGTTGCTGTTACTTGTTTTGGGTTTTTTTCTTTTTTTTTGCTGGGGTACTGGGGGTTTGAACTCAGGGCCTCCTGCTAGCTAGGCAAGTGATCTACCATTTAAGCCACATCCCCAGTCCCAGCTCAGTTGTTAAAAGCTCCACACTTGTTTCTAATGAGTGGCTGGGCTGAGAACCATAGACCAGGAAGAGGATCATACCTTATCCTGCAAGATGTGGTGTTTGGTTTTCTTCCTTCTTGACTCAGGCTGTATCTTTTCTTTTGAGGCAGCAAGGGCCTGTGATGCCTGTAGGTGAGGGCTGTCAGCCATCCTGTGGTCAGGGAGTGAAGAATGATAGATGGGGCCCAGTCAGTCTTGAAGCTCACGGGTCAGTTTGGTCTGGGTGTTGATCCTATCCCCTGAAGCCCTCTAAGTCCAGTTGTGGAGGGTAGAGAGCTGTTGCCCAAGCTAGAGAGGTAAACTCTCTGGCCTCTGTCTGATCTGACCTTGCAGGGAACCTCTGCCACCCTTCATGACTTCCAGCACTTTCCAAAAGTTCAGTTTCAATTTCAGGTTGTTTGTTGTGCACTTGTACAAACAGTCTCATATTTCAAACTCCTCAGTGAAAATTCTGCCAGACACCAAAGAAAGACAGTAGCCAAAGAACTTAGTTTTGCAAGATGAAGGTGAAAGTGGGGGAAAACGTACAATAATGAGCTCATAACACTGAAAAAAAACAAGACATGTGGGAGGACCACTCCCAGGCAATGACCAGAATCAAATGCCTGGCCTGTAGTTGCCATGGAAATTGTCCAAAGGTGCCAGGTAGCAGTTCCTCTCCCAATTCCTGCTCTTTTCAACAGGAAGCAGCTAAGTGCCTGGGAAACCCAGGTGGCTGGACATCTTGGGCAGAAGTCAAGGCTGTGGAGTGTCCAGCTCCCCCTCATAGAGGCTCCTACCCACCAGGACACTATCCCACATGCTGCCTTGGAGGGCACTAGGAATGGGTGTAGGTTATAGGGTTGTGTCACTTGTTTGGTTTAATGCAACTCAGTCTGCCTTTGTTGCATGACCTTTCTTCCTGGGTGTGCAGCCTGGCTTGGGGTCTTTGGAGGAACCAAGTCTGGGGATACAAACAGGGCTCTAGAGCTCCCTTTTCCAGCTGTAGCTTGTGGATTTGGCTTCTAGGCAGGACTTAAGCACCCATGCATCTTTCTAATCTTAAGGAGACCCTTACTTAACAAGGTCCTTCCTCTACTTACTGCTCCTGTTTCTTTTTTTTTTTTTTTTTCATTTTTCTTTTATTATTCATATGTGCATACAAGGCTTGGTTCATTTCTCCCCCCTGCCCCCACCCCCTCCCTTACCACCCACTCCACCCCCTCCCGCTCCCCCCCTCAATACCCAGCAGAAACTATTTTGCCCTTATCTCTAATTTTGTTGTAGAGAGAGTATAAGCAATAATAGGAAGGAACAAGGGGTTTTGCTGGTTGAGATAAGGATAGCTATACAGGGCATTGACTCACATTGATTTCCTGTGTGTGGGTGTTACCTTCTAGGTTAATTCTTTTTGATCTAACCTTTTCTCTAGTTCCTGGTCCCCTTTTCCTATTGGCCTCAGTTGCTTTAAGGTATCTGCTTTAGTTTCTCTGAGTTAAGGGCAACAAATGCTAGCTAGTTTTTTAGGTGTCTTACCTATCCTCACCCCTCCCTTGTGTGCTCTCGCTTTTATCATGTGCTCATAGTCCAATCCCCTTGTTGTGTTTGCCCTTGATCTAATGTCCACATATGAGGGAGAACATACGATTTTTGGTCTTTTGGGCCAGGCTAACCTCACTCAGAATGATGTTCTCCAATTCCATCCATTTACCAGCGAATGATAACATTTCGTTCTTCTTCATGGCTGCATAAAATTCCATTGTGTATAGATACCACATTTTCTTAATCCATTCGTCAGTGTGGGGCATCTTGGCTGTTTCCATAACTTGGCTATTGTGAATAGTGCCGCAATAAACATGGTGTGCAGGTGCCTCTGGAGTAACAGTCTTTTGGGTATATCCCCAAGAGTGGTATTGCTGGATCAAATGGTAGATCGATGTCCAGCTTTTTAAGTAGCCTCCAAATTTTTTTCCAGAGTGGTTGTACTAGTCTACATTCCCACCAACAGTGTAAGAGGGTTCCTTTTTCCCCGCATCCTCGCCAACACCTGTTGTTGGTGGTGTTGCTGATGATGGCTATTCTAACAGGGGTGAGGTGGAATCTTAGTGTGGTTTTAATTTGCATTTCCTTTATTGCTAGAGATGGTGAGCATTTTTTCATGTGTTTTTGGCCATTTGAATTTCTTCTTTTGAGAAAGTTCTGTTTAGTTCACTTGCCCATTTCTTTATTGGTTCATTAGTTTTGGGAGAATTTAGTTTTTTAAGTTCCCTGTATATTCTGGTTATCAGTCCTTTGTCTGATGTATATTGGCAAATATTTTCTCCCACTCTGTGGGTGTTCTCTTCAGTTTAGAGACCATTTCTTTTGATGAACAGAAGCTTTTTAGTTTTATGAGGTCCCATTTATCTATGCTATCTCTTAGTTGCTGTGCTGCTGGGGTTTCATTGAGAAAGTTCTTACCTATACCTACTAACTCCAGAGTATTTCCTACTCTTTCTGTATCAACTTAAGAGTTTGGGGTCTGATATTAAGATCCTTGATCCATTTTGAGTTAATCTTGGTATAGGGTGATATACATGGATCTAGTTTCAGTTTTTTGCAGACTGCTAACCAGTTTTCCCAGCAGTTTTTGTTGAAGAGGCTGCTATTTCTCCATCGTATATTTTTAGCTCCTTTGTCAAAGATAAGTTGTTATAGTTGTGTGGCTTCATATCTGGATCCTCTATTCTGTTCCACTGGTCTTCATGTCTGTTTTTGTGCCAGTACCATGCTGTTTTTATTGTTATTGCTTTGTAATATAGTTTGAAGTCAGGTATTGTGATACCTCCTGCATTGTTCTTTTGACTGAGTATTGCCTTGGCTATTCGTGGCCTCTTGTGTTTCCATATAAATTTCACAGTAGATTTTTCAATCTCTTTAATGAATGTCATTGGAATTTTGATGGGAATTGCATTAAACATGTAGATTACTTTTGGGAGTATCGACATTTTTACTATGTTGATTCTACCAATCCATGAGCATGGGAGATCTCTCCACTTTCTATAGTCTTCCTCAATCTCTTTCTTCAGAAGTGTATAGTTTTCCTTGTAGAGGTCTTTCACATCTTTTGTTAGGTTTACACCTAGGTATTTGATTTTTTTTGAGGCTATTGTAAATGGAATTGTTTTCATACATTCTTTTTCCGTTTGCTCATTGTTAGTGTATAGAAATGCTAATGATTTTTCTATGTTGATTTTATATCCTGCTACCTTGCTATAGCTATTGATGATGTCTAGAAGCTTCTGAGTA